TCAGTATTTAAGGATGAATAAAGATTCTTCCTATCTTTTTAAAACCTGTACTAACCATTAATTGTGCGTTACCACTGTGTATGGTAAACAAAATAGGACTGTAAAAGAGCTGTTTATTCTCAGCTAAGATTTTTCTGTCACATTTTTAGGAAGCCTTTGTTCCATTGCTTAGGAGCCAACATTTAAGACGACAAGTTGAGGGCATTTAAACAGCAGCAAATCTTCAAATTCACTGTTGGCTACAAGAGCAAAATTTAGCTTTGGTGCTTAATTGACTATACGAGTCCATTACACAAATGCAAGATTTAAACTCCTACTAACAAGGAGACTTTGTTTAGATATTTTTAGAGGCTTAGTGTTTATATTTCCTGTTCCGTTCTGTGCTGGAAAATGCATTCATATAATTGAATAAAGAAAAGACATTAGAAATTTGCTTATTGTTGCTGCTATAAATAGGACTTCTTCAAGCTGTTCATTCTAAATCTTAATGATCTGTAGGTGCACAGAGTGATATCCAGAGTGGATATTCCATGTGGGTGGGCTGAAACTGAGGCTACTAAGTCTCAGGTCATGTCTACACTACAATCTTAAGTCAACCTAAGTTAGGTCCATTTACAGCCACTGCAGTAATTACTGCAATGGCTGATGTCCACACTACCCTCCTTCTGTCAGTGGTGCATACCCCTCACACAGAGCGCTTCCACCAATTAAAGAGGGGCAGTGTGGGTGGCTGAGAGCCCGGGCTCTCAGTTCTATGCAGCTCCCCACCAGGAGACCCAGCTGCCTCCCGGGCTTCTCGCTTCCTCGTTCCCAGCCTGAAGCGGGGGGGGGCAGCCACCCAGGGCTTATTCCTCCAGCAGGGAGATCTGCACCGGCATCCACATCCAGTCAGCTGCTGTGCTCCCAGCGAAGAGCTGGGACCTTAGGGAGCAGCCAGGTTCCCACTGGGGCGCAGAGAGCCCGGGCAGCAGCCCAAGAAGGGAGCCTGGGTGGCAGCCTGGCTTGAAGCGGAGACCACGCAGCAGCCCAGCTGGGGAGCCAGCTTTCTTGTCAATTTCACGGCTCAGTGGAGCCATAAAATTAACAAGACAGTAACAGCCCAGGTAAGGAATGTAGTGTCTACACAGACACTGCGTCACCCTAACTACACTGAAATAGGCCCTATGCCTCTCGCGGACATGGAGTTATGATGTTGGTGTAGGTGGGCACTTACGTCGGCAGGAGCAAGGCTGTAGTGTAGACACTGACCTAGTTAGGTGAACATAAGCTGCCTTATGTCAACCTAACTCTGTAGCACAGTCTTAGCTGAGGAGGCAATTTAAAGAAAAATGGTTCTGTGGCTAGCAAATTATTAGAAGCTGTTCATATAATTTTTTTTCAAACTGCATGATTATCTATAAACACTGATATAGAAAACATTTATTATCCACTCAATTTTAAAAATATTTTCCCAAATTGAAGAAAACATTTATTTTCATTACTACTTGTGCACATGTTGCATAAAAAGACGAGAAAGCACCATCTGCTGGATCAGGAGGAGTCTTAAGACCTTTCTACCCAGGTCTGAACTTCAGTTTGCCCATCTATAAAATGGGGCTAGCACTACTTCTCTAAAAAGCAACAGAGGGTCCTGTGGCACCTTTAA